AGCAGCACCATGGCCCACACCTACAATGGTATAAGGCAGGGCATTCTGTTGACAAAGATCCTTCTCTGATCACAGTGGAGATAGGAAATAACTCAAGAAAGGGTTGAAATACTGAATTTAGTTACAGAGTTTAAAGCAACTTGCAAGGACTACTGCTTCCTACTCTGGATTCATTCAAATAACTGAACATGAATTTCTGTACAGGCTGAGGAAGCATTCTAGCATTTCTGGATAGCTCACTTGAGAGGCTTGTTTGGTCTGTGACAGAAGTAAGTGTATCACCCTCCACAACAGTAATAAATTATCAAAAAAAAAAGTGGCATATCTTGGAACTGGTGAACCATTTTGCTTCTGAGAGAACAAAATCGCTGCAGTCATCTGAGACAAGTTGTGATTGTAAAGAAAAAAAAAATTCTCCTATCTAAAAGTGTTCTACAAAGTATCAAGGTTATTCTATATGGAACTGAAACAGTCTCACAGTCTCAATGCCTAGGCCAGTGCTTCTTGAATGAATAGAATAATTATATGCCAAAATTTTTTTATGAATTATTAGATGTATTTACATAAGAAAAAATCAGGAGCAGATAGCACTGATTTGGACAGCCAATTAATTTTTAACTGTGATGACTGAACTTATCTAATGGAAGGTCCTTATCATCTGGTCAGACTCTATTTGAGTTCTTGAAACTTGCACCTGTTGCAGCAGTGCAGACAAGCCATTAGCTTTAGAGCACAGTAGTCACAGTTGTTTTTGGGTTCTCTCCCCCCATATCCTGCTCAGGAGACCTGAGCAGACAAAGCCATGGGTTAACGCTTCCCTCCTCAGCTGCCAGGAGCAGCGCCTGGGGAACACCACACAGAGGCACACAAGTTGAGGCAGCCACGACACTGAGAGAGCAACGGCTGCTGCTTGCCAATACTGCCATGAAATCCTGCACAACCAGCCAAACGCAGGGAGTCCACTTCATTTGACAAGTACTGTCAGGTTCTCCTGCAGCCTCAGGAACATGATCACCATTTTCCAATCACCTAATAATTTTCTTCAAAGAAATCGCAAGAGTCATCTTTCTTATTGTGTCAAAGGACTAATTCTGATCTTCCATGTTTTTCACCACTAACTCAAATGAACTTAGCGAGCTATTCCCCAGATAAGAATGTGCTCAGTGTTTAAAGATAATTGCCCCTTACTTTGATGGATATAATTTTTACAAGCTAACTGAAAGCATTTATGCACCATCACATAGGAACTGATCCTGTTAGGCAGTTTTCTCCCTCTAGAAAAATCTTAGTCATTTTTTTGGTAGCTGTTTTAAAGTATTGTACTGGTAGCTGCTATTTACTAAAGATATGTTTGTACATATGAATTTCAGTATTTAGCCTTCCAAATACGATCCTGAATAGACCACGCTGTTAAGAACACAGTAGTAAAGTCACCAATAGGCCTAAAATATTTGGATTTACACAAAACCTGACAGCTTGACTCTATAATGGCCAAGAATTCACAAGAAAGACATGCCACTCTGAAAGCTTTTTTTTGCTGAAAGTTCATAAACCAATAAACATCCCTTAGAAAGAACACTGAAGATATGCCACACAAAGGGCAACACGGAACGAATGCCCCAAGCACAATGCATAAACCAATGTATACCAGATGATTAACCATCATCCTCAGAGTGGAGAGAGCATGATGCATGTGCATGTGCAAAGGTGAGCACGTCTGTACACTGCATGCATAAATTACTTCACTCAAAAAATTATAATTAAAAGAATTATCAGACGCTCTGGATATTTATAGTAAAGATACACAAAATAATCCTGTAAGCGCATATGAACGTCTACACGATCCATTCTTTGTCATAGGGATCACATCTGGGAGTTTAATATGTTAGAAACAGAAAATGTTATATAAAGAAAAAGAAATTTAATTCTCCATAGCAAACATCTCTTTTTATTGACAATACCTCATGAATGATTACTAGATCTCCTTAGCAGGAAGAGGTGTGTTTTGGTCATCAAAACTGTACTCCCAAAATCAGTTAAAAAAATCTACAACATTGTTTTGTGTTGTTTTTCTACACCAAAAAGCAACCTATGGGATGGTGAAGGATTACAGTTGTTTTCCTGATCTTTAACAAACAGATTTCACTCAATAAACTGCTTATATGTTTTTATAATCACATCATACTGGAGGCTGTTGTTCACTGTCAGGAAAATTTCTCTGCTTGAGAAGAACGAAGAGCAACTAAAAAAAGGTCCACAGGGATTTCTTGAAGAAAAATAAATAACATCACAAGGGATTCTAAACTCCAAGGGACATGAACAAAAATTTGTCTACCATTGTAGACTAAAAGGAAAATTTCTCTAAAAGGATCAACAAAGGTCTTCCTAAGCAAACTATACTCAGACAAAACCACAATGTACAGCCCTGCTATGAACTTCTGATGCAACAGCCACTTTCTAGCAAATCTGAAAGGGACAGTCTTGGATCACATTGACAACTGCACTCTGGCCAGCCCATATTGGTTCAGTTGCTTCTTCCTCGCTCAAACACACACTGAACTTGGAAGGAAAGGTGTGATAAATAAGGGGGCTGAGGATACTGCGTTGAGGAGGAATTCCCTGTTACGTGGGAGAACTGCAGCAATGCAGGACTGTTAAAGACAAACAGCAATAGGACTGTGGGCGGTAGCTGCTAATGCAAGACACTGCACACAGTGTAGGAAGGTGAGGAGCAAAGTGAAATCTCGGATGAGTAAGATAATTTGTGAATATATTTGTAAATTTTAAGCCACATGTAGCTTTGAAACCTATTTAAGGAACATACTAGTATCATGTACTCACCACAACACATATTTATCCACATTTTAGGGATAACCAGAGAATTGTAGACCCGCTCACATGAGCATGCCACTGTATTTCAAAGGCATTGAAGTGGCTGGTATTTCTTTAACCAGATTCTCTTGTGAATAGCTTTAAGGTATGCCTCAAAAAATACTAAACTTCACAGGATATGAACTGTTCTTTATACAATCAGAAGGCAGACGATTAGCTAATAAAATACATAAATATATTAGGCACAGACAGAAGCAAAAATATGTTTTTGCAGATGAGATTAGCATAGATATTTCAATGGATTACGAAGTTTCAGTGATAGAAGGTATGTATTTAATATACAAAAGCCATATAATGAGAAGCAGTGGAAAAAAACCAAGGCAACTGTCGTGTGTCCAAGAAACAGCTTCGTAAAAAACCTCTCAAATATAAACACTGCACAGCAACAAAACACTCTGCAACTGAACAAGGTAAATTTAATTGAGAATTTATGACATACCTCATCATGGATTTTATAATTACAAATATAAATGAACAGCTGGATCTCTCCAAAGTGAAATAACACTTACCTTCTCCTGTTAAATAACTTCTAGCTGGCATTTGTGATTAGTTGGACATAAAGATTGTTGTTGGTTTATTGTAGCAAAAAGACAGTTGAGAAGGAGTATAACCAACGTGTATAAATACACTCAGAGGCAAACATCTGAGAAGGTTAAGAACTAATTAAGCTCAAGGACCATCCTGGCATAAGAACAAATGGTTATAAATTGGCCATGAAGAAATTCAGGTTGGAAATTAAACAACCGGATGGTTTCAGATGAAAATTCACAAATTTGTGATCAGGGTGACCTGGCTGTTTGCAATAACAAGGACTGGAACTCAAGTGACCCAGGATGCCCTCTGCTTCCAGTCATACATCCTAAAACCAAAATGAATTCTAACATTCTCACAAAATAACTATATGTTAAACCCTTTAATAGATCTGCTCATTGAAAAAATATTATATAGGCTATAAATTAGTCATAAGATATAAATAATATAAATAATATAAATAATAATAAACTCAAGATATGAATGAATTTCCAAAGATTTAAACACTGATTTGTGTAGTTCCAAAAAAACTTGGATCCTCATAAGACTACGAAGGTTCCTTTCCAGCAACAGGTAGGGATATGATAAATTTGCCTAAAGCCCATTACAGCAACAAACTTCAAAAGATAATTTCACTTCCTACCAATATTCCTTATTCTTGTTCCTTCCTCCCCAAAATAAGGAGGAAATAAAAATGCAGATAAGGGCATCCTTTACCATCACAGAAAATAAATAACAATCTTCTTATCTTTCATGCCTTCTGGAATTTGTTTCTACTCTCCCTGCCACAGAAACTCAAGAAAATAATATGGAAGAATAAACAATGCACACATTGGATATAACAATCAATCAAAAGCCTGGTTCATTCATTGGCCTCTTTCACTGACTGGTAAATTTTATACCAGAACCTACTGAGACGATACACAAATTTAGCACATACATTTAGAATATTCCATGTTTTTCTTCATAAGGTTCTTTTTTACTAGCTGTGAAACTAGCAAACTCTGCATTAGGAAAGTTCACACCAGGTAAGTGAACCACTTCATCCTTGGAACAGGATGATTTGTACTTCTTAAGGAATCATAAACAAGATGTTCTATTGCCAGATGATCCTCCATGAGATCCAAGTTATAGTCTCAGCTTTTACTAATTCTAATTAATATTTTTTTAGTCATTAAATACAATGGCACTTTATTAGTAGTCTATTTTGTAATACTCATGTTCAACAGAAATGCTATTTCAATCAGCCTAAACTTAATTTGTTCTGCATTTTCAAAAAACCTGTATCGTTTCACCTGAAAAAATATTTCCCTTTCTTTCCTTTCTCCTCTTCCTTTTCTTTTATTGATAGTTTTAAAAACCCTACAAACCAAACACAACATCCAAATAAGGATAACCTTGCAAAATCAACTTCTCTTCCCCCAAAAGTCCATTATTAAGCACATATGCAGCTCTTAGGCAATGAACATTCAAGGACTCCTAGTCTAGGAATCTGCGAGCACAACATCACATTCTCTTTCTGGAGAAAAGCATACTTAAATACTTACAAAAAGGAAAAGGGAGATGCTGATCACTGCCCATACAGTGATCTACTGCGGTTTTTGAGAGTGATACCTGAGTTTACCCTTAATTACTGTTGCTTTGCTTTATTAAAAATACTAAAATATTTTGAGGGACAACATTTTTTGTGACAGATAGGTAGGGTTTTTCTTCAGCAAACAAAAATCCTTTTTAGTTTGGACTACTTTTCACACTATTTTTCACTTCAGACTGAACCAGAAATCAATTATTTACAAGGTTCTAATCTGAAGTTATTAAAAATGGCTTTGTGCTCTCAAAATTCCTACTTCCTACCTTTCTTTCTTCAAAGGAAAATACCTATTGCAACCAAGATTTAATTGCACTAGATGGAGGGCACTCTCTAGTACAGCTTTTTTTTTTTTTTAACTGAAATGCTGTGGGTAGCAGAGTAAAGATCACACTATTAAACACATATATACGTATTTTCATGTGTACATATATTCACCACTATATCCCTATTTATAGTCTGGAAATTTCTAAGTAATTAAAAAGAAAATATGGACAGCTTTTGCAGATGGAAAGCAAAGGTACTTACAGAAGCAATAAGGAAACTATTATTGTGTTCATACAGTGCTATGACTTGAAGAAAATCAAGTGGATGTGATGACTCTCTTAATATACACACTATTCTTACAAAATTCAGGACATTGTATATCACTGTATTCTTATTCTGCCTTATTTAATACTCACAGACAGACTGTAAGAAGGTTCCAGTATCACTGGCACTGACATCTTCCCTTGAAGATTCAATTTTGTTAAGTAAAAAATCTTTTCTCCCACAATCCTCTCTTTTTTCACGCGACGTACGCTGTACAGTCTAAAGCGAACTGCATAATTCCCAATCATCTCAGACTCAATGTGATTAAATTTGAATGTCTCTGTGAAGACAGGGGACGGTCCCCGCTGGATGCTGGTTTTTGCTCTCTGCTTCTTTATAGGGAGAAGAACTAGGTGTACTTGCCATGAGCTTCCACCTGCCCTGCTGTATGTGGGAATGTCTGTGACAGCTGTCACTGTCACCAAAAGCTTCTGTTCCTGTGAGTCATAGTCAAAAGTCACATCCAGTGTGCCATATTTAGCTACTGGCTCAGGATCAAAAGGTTTAGGAAGCTGTGAAGATGATCCTCGAGCTGACATATCCTGAAGAAGAAGAAGAAGAAAAAGCAGCTTATTTATTTATTGTATTCTATTCTTAAATCTAGCATGGAAATATACAGATTTCTCTATGCAGTATGAAGTGACTATGATCTTTTTGTTCATTTCCTAAATAAGGTAATTAAACACTAAAAGCCTGAGGAGATGGCTGAGTAGCAGCCAAGGAGAAACTAAAACACTTTACCTGGCCAATACTGCCAAAAGCCAGACAGAGCTCAGATTAAATTAGGCTGTATTTATGATCTCTTCTTCTGTGCCCCACATGTTAAAATACATACACATTTGCTACGAGACAGAATTACCTTAATTCAGTGTGAGCATACACACATTTTTAAGTTAACATATTATAGTGCTTTAAGAAGACAGCTCTTGTTACAGCCCACAAGGGTTCTATAAACGTGCCAAAAATTATCATGGCTTTATTAATGTAATTTTACTAGAACTGGGCAAGACGTGCTTGTTTTGAACACACTTTCTGAACTTCCTGTAAATGCTATCCGTTCTAAAATTGTACTTTAAACTTAATTTTAAAATTTTCTATTGTCACTTCAAATTTTGAACAAAATATCGATCCTCTATATTTTTAAAACAGCTAGTTTGATAAGTGATATTGAAACACAAAATATTTACAAGTCAACCTACTGTTCATATAATTACCTATTCCAGGTAAGTAAAACAAATGTATTTCCTGTGTATTTCTGTATTACACTTGTTCACATAAATGAACAGAAGCCACATAAAAGCCTTTTGTATTAAAAAAAAAAAAAAAAAAGTTATGAACTTATTTTAAACTGCTTGCTACATAGCTACAGGAATTCATCCCTTTGAAAGCTTCATTCTTCAAGCTGCTGAGTGGCTGTGTAAAAGGTTGTCAGTATTCTCACTTCTCACTGGGTACACTTACATTAACGACTGGTGTGACACAAAGCAGGAGGAACTAGGATTAGATTTGCTGTCATTTGTTAGGGTTCGAGGACCATATGTACACTCTATGTCTTTACCAGCAATGAAGTTCATACAGATTGTGGTCCTAGTAGATCATCAGGTACACGTAGACAGCTAGCTACTAGAGGACCTTACATTCACATAGCACATTCCAGATGTTGCACCAACATCTCAAGTATGTAACATCAACTTACCAAGAGGTCTACTGAGACAGAAACAGCTATTGGCACATCAGGACTGAGCCCTAATATGCACTTCAAAACTTCAGGCAGAGACAAAAGGCAAATTTGTACCAAAAAGAGCCTCTTCTGCACATGACATCACTAATGTAGACTTATCCATAGATGTCAGTGCAGTAACTGGTTGATAAAAACATTTCAAAGAAATACATGTCAGAAAAGATTATTTCTTCAAAATATAAATAAATAGATATCATCATAGCTTAATAGTAGGAAAAAAAAAAAAGAGAATCAAATGGAACAAATCTCTTTGCTACCATCAACAATTAAAAAAAATCATTTGTAATTTTTTTTTCATAAAAGACATTTTGCATTATGGGGTGTTATTTGAAAAGCATTAACAGATTTTCTCTTTTTAAAATTTGATTTGTTTGAAAAATTATGTGGAAAAAAAAGAATTTTGACTGCCGTCCTTATAGCGTGATGAAGTTTTCCAACTTGTTTAAAAAAAAAAATCACTTTTACTGGGAACTTGTTTGGAAGTTAAGATGCCATACAGAAAACTACAAAAAATAATCTGAAATCCTATTGTAATATTTTCTGACTAACTTTTTTTTTAAATGAATGAGCTGCAATATTAGTGTTCATGTATCTGTACATTGATCTTCGGGGGGGGGGGGAATCTCTCAAAACGTTGTACAGTACAATGCTTCAGAACATTCAACTGTTTTCATTTACCTCTGGACTAAGGACAGCTGTGCTGTCACTTGGTACATCTTCTTCGTATCCTTTGTTATGAAAGCTTTCTATTTCGTGTCCCGTGCTTCCTTCACTTGGGCATTTATATGAACATCTTGGACTGTTGCTACACTGGGAAAATTCACATTTACTGTCTCCAACTTCCGAAGGCGTACATGAAAGATGAGGAGAACCACTATCATCCTGGTACGGAGGCGGCTGCAGTTCATCTAGCGGAGGTGTTCTTCTCATCCTCTGAATGCAGTTAGCTGAGAATAAGTGAAAATTCTTTACTTACTTTCTGATTATTTACTGCTGAACAGTTCTGTGGAAAATGATAAATCCAGATATCCGGATAGAGTATTCAAAATCTATAAATGTCTTTTTTTACTTTACATTTTAGATTAGATAACAAATACTACTGAAAAATATTTGTTTAAAATGAAAACAAATGATCTCTCAGATAAAAGAGATGTGGGAAAAGGCAGAGTATTAAATACATATTCACAGTGGACTGTGTAAACCATACATAAATAAATATAGTGCAAATATGACACAACAAAAATTCTAGGCTTGAATTTCAGGGATGCTTACCTTGCAAAACCTTTTGATATCTTAAGTCAGATTCTGTGTAGGTGGAATGTAATGAATTAATGAAACAAAATGAACTCCCTAAAGCCATGATATCAAACTTCTGATTACCTCCCATGCCGTCACTCACCCGGGGAGATACTACATTAAACGATGAAGACAAACAAGGCACTAATAAAGGCAGACACAAGCCTTTTCAAACAAGTGGACTCAGATCATCAGTGAATTTAACAAGGGAAGCAGTGTCTCAGATTCTTTACTACTTGTTACGGACAGCTAAAAGGTATATAAAGGTATAAAAAAAAAAAAAAAAAAGGTATAAAAAAGGTATAAAAGGTATATAAAAGTGTCTAGAAGTTAGAAACTAGGTCCAGTCACTAAAGACAGTGGAAAGAGGACCATGAGCAATCTTGTACTTGAGATGAATATTTGATGCTGACCATCTTTGCTTTTCACTTACACTAGCTAACTACATAGAAATGTGGTTATACATCTCCTCAGAAAATAAACCCAGGATGCATGGCTGTGAATACAGAAAGTTAATTCAAGATATAATTATATTTCAGTTTTTGATCTTGTATTTTAGATCAAAAAGCATTACAGAGTTGATTGGAATTGGGAAGACAGTAAGGTGTGCAGTAGCTGAAATGAAAAGAACAGCAAGAACAGGTATAACCTGTATTACATTTTGTTTACATCTTCTGTACAGGTTTTAATTAAGATTTCGGTGCCCCACACTCATAGCTTATACACAAAAATTTCAAAGCAAAAATGTTTTCTGGTGTCAGATATACCACTTTCATTCACAGAAAAAAATCTACCAAACAGGGAAGTTAACAAATAGTATTAACATTAGAACAACAAAAACTTTGATTTCAGATTCATGTAAGAAAGAAACTGACCTTTCCCACATGGCAACGTTGGTACATTCTAGTTTCATGAGCAAATTTTTGTAACAGGTCTTGCCTGCCTGTGTCCTAAATTCTCACCAAGTATACCAACCTTTTTTTTTTAACTGCTTGAGAGGTTACTAGTTGTTCAACATATCACATAAACAAAATACGTGTAAGAGTTACCCTTGGAACAAGGCTGAAAACACAGCAATGTGGCTCTCTTGGGAAACAAACAGTCTTTGCGACAGGCTCCCTTTTGCTCTCCTTTCCTTTGGAAGTCAGGGCTGTATCTGACTCTGACACGCAGGAACATTTCACAGCTTCTGGGACTTGATGTATGCCCAAACCACCGTGGTTTCAGTGCACACTGTCCACGGGAAGCACGCCCAGACACACTGGCTAGAAGGGAGCCAATGTGCATTGCAGATCCCCAAAGCTGGGTAACTGAAGGACAGGGACAGGACAGCTCACTACGGAGTGTATCTACTGCACAGATAAATACAGGCCTCAAAGATAATTGGGGAATGTAAGGCTCCTAATGGAACTCCTCTTAGCTTTAGCCAAGGCAAATCAGTAATTTAAACAACCCAGAGCACCCCTACCAGATGATAGCACTGTCAGGAATCCACTCTTCTCTGATAAACCCATCAGACACAGCCTACCATTCAGAGCGATTGCAAGTTACCCTTACAGCACTCACACAAAAGGTCTTTTGTTGTTAGTTAGCCCAGTGCCACTAACTCTTGAAACTCCAGCCCCACAGGGCTGGAAAGGAAAACAGAGCAGGCAGGAGATCCCATACTTGAAATGTAGTCATCAGTCTAGCAGATTCACATAAAACCTTACATACAAAAGAGAATTAAGTGGGACAGTCAGAATCTTGAAATTGCCACGCAGGAATAGTGAGAAAGCTTTATTTCCAAAACAGAGAAAGACCTGGGAAAGCTTTTTTACCTTTTTAAAATATTAGATACCTGCGCCTATGAAACTAGATAGACATATTTTTAGAATCTAAACTGGTATTTTAATCATAATAAAATAATAGTAATCATGCTTTGACTCACTATACCATGAAAACAGGACTTCCTTTTCATAATTGATGTAATTAAATATTCTAGCAAAGTTAGAGCAACAACATTTCTGCTCATTATTGCTAAAAGGCAACAAACAGCCTTAAATGAGACAGTCGCCGCCCTGTAGCTATGACTTAATTTTCTTTCTTTTCACTTGCAGTCTAGTCTGCAAGGACTTTTTAACTCTCAGCTCTTCCACAATCTAAAGAAATGAAAGCGTGTGCAGGTAGCTATCAACACCATTATTGTCTTACATGAGTAAATAAATGACTGCGTGACTCACTTTTTTCACTTTGAAGAATTCCATTATATGTCCCTATGGGAAAACTGCACAGGCTTTGTGACAGGAAAGGTACTTTTAATGTAGGCAGGTAAGAAGTGAAGAATAGAAAATTCTTATTAACCATCTGTGATTCAAAAAAATCTCAGAAAAAGCTGAAACCCTGGGGCTGGCTTTAACTGTTTATGTCTGAAAGTTTGGTTTACCAAACAGAAATAGCATGTAAAAATTCTTAAAACAAATATCCAGGTTTAAAAACCGAAGGACACCTCTTCCTAAACAGGGATAAACTGTCTTTGAACAAAAGGTTTCTCTACATAAAAAGATATCAATGTTTTCAAATGAATTTTTAAAGTGAAAATTTCTCATTTAAAATTAATTTCCCCCTCCCCACAATAAATGATGCAATAAAATTATTATTTCATGTTACAGCTCTCTGAAAACACTGCAAATCTGAATTACACAAAGACATTCTAATGACTGATGCTATCAAAGCAAATGATATCATAGACAGTGAATACAGCAACATCAAATATCTGATACTGGGTATTTTCCATAAAAATTACACAGGAGTAACAACTAACTTCAACAATCAATTTGTTGACATTTTGCTTATGTATTGAAATTTAAAATAAAAAAAACACTCCTAATGTGTGCTGGCCTGTCACTGATTGTATTGGAGAAAAACATTTGGAGCTGACAGGAAAGCATGTTCTGAAGCGTTGCATATTTACATACAGAACCGGTGTCGATAACATACCTTGTACCCTCCATTTAAGGTGTAAACTTACACACAGTTACACCTGTGCATCCTTGTACACAGTAGCAAACCTAAAGAACACCTTCCAAAGACCACTGAACCTGACTAGTAACATCTCTTAAAGAGTTACTCTTAACAAGCAAATGGTTACAGTGAAAATCTAAAATTAATTGTTGCATCGTTTCTCTGCAAGCTCCCCAAGAACCTTCCACTTTCCAATTAGGTACAAAATAAATTTTGCCAATTCCCCCAATGAAATTAATCCTACTAAATTACCACAACATTTGGACTAAACCTGGAAAAAAGGAATAATCACAGAGAAACCATGTCAGGTTTAGCCTGAGGTTCCCACCAACCAGAAAATGTCACAACAAAGGAAAGACAAAAATAAAGTTAACAGGATGAAGATTCCACATCTAGTTTTCCACCCAAAATATGTTAAATAACTTTGCATTCTCATAACAGGAGCGAAACTAAGTTGGTTAGTAACAAATATTTACTAAACTTGAAATTGAGAACAGTGTATTGCTATAGGCAAATTTGAATAATCAATCTTTAAAGGGTTAACTGTTTTAATTAAAATTTTCATCCTTCTTCAGTGGGCTGGGAAAATACTCTTACAGTCGTAACAATAAAGTCCTTGCTCAATAGCTGAAGAAACCAGAACTCTAAGTGCATTACCTGACAAACACAAGCAGATTAGCATTTTGCTGGTATACTCAGAAATTACAGCATGTAAACTGTCATTAGCACATTTAAGTCAGAAGCAAATAAACACCTTCCTTTTTAGCACTGTTTGTTAAACAGTGCAGGTTAATCTGTTTTCATAAGTCCCTGTACAAGGGACAAACTGAAAGCCAAGGAGTGATGGTAGATATTCTTGCCATCCACATCAAAGGACTGTCAGTAAAACCTTCCACAGCAACCATGGACAAAATGAGTATTCCTAGAACATATAATTGGCAGCTATGAGAAAACGCACAAACTTTTTCAGTCATTTTTCCAACTGGAATCACAGTTTAAAGATACACAAACTTACTACAAGAAATGCTTTTTCTTTAGGTTTTCGGTTACTATATGAACTTTCTACTCCCAAAGCTCCTAATTTCTCCTCTCTGTCCTGGTCCCTAGTGGACCATGCTATAACGTTTCACCATGAAGCTGGTGATGTTCCTTTCCATGTTTATAATGTTTAGACTTTGCTACCTTAATTAATTTTCCCAAAAGCTGTCAGCATCAGCACAAACCTAGCTTTTCTGCCCCTATTTCCTGAATAATTCCAAGTAACATCCATCTCTTAACATATGGGAAAAGAAACTAACCTTGTGGTTTTAATTCCCCTGTCTCATAAGCAGCAATTAACCACACTTTTGCAACTTGGAGTTTCTCATACATATCACTTCTTTAAATATTCATACTATTGTGGGAGGCAGCATTACTGCAAAATGTCTTTGGGAATCTGGTTTCTAGTTCCTTTTAAACAGATAATCACTATATAAATTAATAATTTTTGCAAGTCATATTTTGTAATTATCAGAATTTCATCATGCTGAACCAGTATCTTTTCTTCCTCTAATGTATCTTCACATACACTATGCTTCATAATTATTTATTTTTTTAATACAACGTAAATTTCAAGTTTTCAAGCCTTCAAGGGGTTCAATGTAAAGAC